ATTCAATGTTTGATGATCTCACGACTTTCCTTTCCCTCATTTGCTTTCACCGCTAACAAAGACGCCGTGCGGATAATCGTCAAAACCTCGAAAAGAAGATTCAAGGCTGAGGGATATTCGCTGATTGCTTATGAGTTTCGATTTCCAAGACCCTGCGGCCGGCCAAAATAGCTCACCGACTTGTGGGGCTTCCGTCAATTAATCAAGAGCTCCGATCTTGGTTCCCTCCTGGTTTGCCAGCTATCTGAATTATGAATCTTATCTTTTGCGGGCTCCAATTCGAGAGCAGATAAGTGATGTACACCAGGGGGTAATGGTCCTCGGCCTCGGCCGGCTCCTGTGACGATTTCAAAGGTTTCGTCACCAGAACCACCCAGGAAGGTGTGGAACCGGTTTCGCCGAAACCGTTTTGGACACCGTTCCACCACCGCTTCTGGAACGAGCTGCATGTCAGCAACCGTTTGAGAACGGCTGCTGAGGCGGTGGTGAAGCGGTTTGTTCGACACCGATTGCAATCGGTGTCGAACATACATAGTCTTCTTAGGAGAGATGCAGTATCAGTCTTTTACTGAGACTGCCTGAGACGAGCCTGAGACGAGCCCTGTGACATACAGGGACAATACAATTTCTTCCAGAGTGGCACTTGTTTTTTCGAGCGGGGCGCGTTTTTTTTTCGCTGAGCTTCTCGCACCTACCCAAGCCTGTACAAAGGGATTTTGTACGACTGATGGATCAAGATCGATCAGATTTAAGAAATATTGTAAGATAAAAGGCATTGGGCGAAATTTTCGCTCTTTTTTCTATTTTTTTGACGGCCCAGCGATGCGCCCCACGAAGCAATCCGAAGATTGCAGAAGCGAGTGAGTTTCACAGGTAAAAAGCCCTGTCGCTTTGCCCGGCTATCTTTTAGGGTCAGATGTTCATTTGCCTCGGTCCGATGACCGCTTGACTCTTGTCTTCGAGGTTTTTGCTCGTCAACTCCAGCAGTTTGTGACCAATCCAGAGGATCAAGATTTGAATCTTTTGATTTCAATTTCAGCTTGAAATTGGACAAGTCTGTCTAGTTTTGAGTCAATAAAATGTTCCAATTTTGACTGCCACGTTAGAAGAAAAAGTCATCGGATGATAGATCACGGCTGCTGGGGGATACCCGGGTAGATTCAGAACGGGGGGCCCCAGGCAAGGTATGTGTGAAATGTCTGAAAGGTGTCTTTTGTGGCGCGATTAGGGCTTGTGGCTTTTACAGGTCAAGCAAGGATGCTCTACGCCCGATGAAATTTCAGAAAATTTTTGTAAAGCAAAACAAGAAATATTTTTTTGCTGTGCTTTGGGTGGCTTTGATATTGTGCCAGCCATCCCTACTCAAGCATTCCAAGAAAACTGAACTACCTTTGAATTGGTTCCCGCAACCAAAAAACGAAAATTTTCAGAAACCTCGCCCAATGCCTAAAGAACCTACGATTGTTCGAAATGTCAAACCGAGTGAATGTGAGTGAATGTGAGAATCGCCGCACTGAGAAAAAGCTACACATGCGAATTGAAGCAAAAGAGCGAGCAAAAGAATATCGAAAGATTTAATCGCTCCAAAAGAGCCAATCAAGATAATCAAAAGGAGACTCTAATGAAATTTCACTTACAAGAATGTTTCAGCTTTAAGCTCTTAAGAAGCCTTTGATGCGATCGGAGGAGTTAATGATTTGAGATATGTTGGACGAGTACGAAGTGAAAATCTTCAGTCCAGATCAACTAATCTCTACCCGTTTACATCTTCAAGTCATTCTACTCGATTCATGCTGTTCAAAACCTTTTCTAAAACTCTCCAGAATGTTTCGTCTGCAATCTGGAATAACCTTCATGTCGAGGATTTTGTCAAATTCTGTCTTCTAAGCGGTGATGTGCTCCATCGTACAGGTCCAGGCCTGGGTTTCTCACAGGACGATGGCCCCATCGATTATCTCTACAACGCACTTGATGGCAGGGTACCAACTGGTGCTCTTGCACATATCTGGAAAACAACCTTTCCCTGTTTAGAGAACTGCCGGACTTCTCCTGTAGACATCGTAAAAATGTTGGGATTGAAAGCCCCATCTGAAAAACAAATTCCTACACAATTTTTCTTTCCACCGATTCGAGATTGTTTTATTTGTAAAAAGCGTCTACCTTTCAAAAAGCAAAAAATTCTCAATGGATATCTATATGCTCTCGATGGGGTACATGCAATCAAAAGTGTTTCCATGCGCTGTGCAGGCAAGTGTTTGTTTGCAATCTTTTCTTCTTTAAAGTGAAAAATTGACTCGTCTTGTATCAGATTGTGAAATAGTTTTCCGACCATCATATTACTCTCATGGCAATAACCGATATTTCTATACACCGGAACAAAATCGAAATGTTGAAGTCTTTCAAGTTCATCAACATTACTTCATGAAGAGAGACCTGGCTGAGTCATTTTCTTTTTCACAAATGCTCTCTCAGTCAGTTTCCCAACTCTATCCTTAGTTATTTATTGGTACTTTTCTGATCAGAAAATTTCAAAATTTGTAGTGTTTCAATATTCAATCTAGTTAATCACTATAACCACACTTATAAAACTCGTTCATCACCTTTATTTGAAAAGAATCAATCATTTGGAGCATCTATGTCAGCGCCAGTCTGTCGGGATGGATTAGACATTCACAGGCTCTTATATCACTTTGATATCCGCAAAAAAACTCTCAAAGTACCCGACTACGGAGAAGATTCTCATCGTTATTTACATGCAATGTCAGACCAGTTGAAGTATTGGGCTATCTCAGGTACTGAATATCGAAATCATGGGTGTGACAAATGTGTATACATCTCTAAAGATAGTGAAGGAAATGATCAAGGTATGTTTATCATATAGTATCTTTTGTATGGACTCTGTTTCAGATATTTCATATTAATAACATGTCATCTTTTATAGGGATTCATGCGGTAGTAACTGATGGTGTTACCATAGGTCATTATTGCTGCAGTGCTTCGCGTGAACAGTTGGAGGCTATGGGTGAACAATACCCTTGTATCAACAAATTGTCTAGTGTACATGATCGCTTCTGTGCCGACCATCAGGTTCATCTGGGAACTCAATGCTACGCACAACCATGTATCTCTCCTGCTCGTGATGGCGAAATAACTTGTGGTAAAGATGAACATGTTAAAGCTGGTAAAGCTTTTCAGAAAGGAAAGGATAAACCTTATAGTTTAGCAACCAAAACAACACGAACTGGTGCCAAAACACCCGCCGATCCTTCTGTCTATCAAAACGAGTGGACAGCTTCTTTGGAAAACATTTCTCTTATTCACGAAGCTGATGAGTCTGATCGTGCACACAAGGCTGGAAGATACGGAGGTGATGGTCCTGAAGATGAAATTCAATCTGGAGTTACAAATCTCAAAGGTGGTAGAAAACCATGTTGTTCTAGGCGCCGTACTCATAATGATCAGCTGATTGTTGGTTGTTGTGGTATCATTTTGGCACGTACCACTTTCTTTTCCTCCGAGGCAATTAGTGCTGTCAAGGTAAGACAGATCAAATAAGAACTACAATCAACCCTAGCAATCATCCAATGTTAACTTACTTTTTCTTCCACACAGCAATTTATACTTGATACATTCCCAGATGTCCTTCCTGGTGTGATATTTTATGACAATGCATGCAACTTGATGCGACATATTTGGAACAGCCCTGAGGATGCGAATGTATTCAAGGACACTGTTGTTGCTGTGGATGCATTTCATATGTGTTCACACAAGGAATCCGACCAATTCTGCCAGCAGTACACAAACCCAAGAAAAATCCCAGATCTCAAAAATGGCGATAAGTGGATCTTTAACTCCTCAGCAGCTGAGCTTACAAATATATGGTATGGTAAATTTTCTGCTATTTGCAGGGGTATGCACGCAGACCGCTGTAACTTCTTTTTAGAGGAGATGGTCAGATTGAGAAAT